GCTTCTCTGGTGACCTTGGGTCAGGGCAGCACAACCTACCTCACAAGGTTAACAGGCTAAATTGAGGGAGGTATGTTGTCTTTGGCTCCTTGTAGATAAAGGTGGGGCATACGTGTGTTAAATATAAGAAAGGCTGGGGGGAAGGAAAAATGCTACCTCTTCATAGTACCTGAGGATTTGCCTCACTAAGAAAGTTGATTAAAATAAGCTCACATTAAGATTTAGTCCTTTCTATCTGGAGTTATAACAACAGCAAAACTTAATTAGCTTCATACACAATGTAAAACCTTCCATCTGGTAGAGTAATTTAGCAGAATTAATTGTATACCACCATAAGTCAATGAGACACTGAGGAAAACCATTGAAATGCTATTTCCTTTCCTTTGGAAGGGAATTATGTACAATTTCGGCATGATTTGCATTGCTAACAGTGAAATCCAACTGGGAGGAATCACTCTCATTTATATTACTTTCCCATGAGAAAATCAAGAGAGAACTGTAAAGCTAGTGCTGTTATTCATAAATAGCTCTGAAATACTTAGAGCACTCGGCTTTAGCCAAGACATGCTACTTGGCAGCAGGAACCTCTAATCACAGGCCTGATCACATATCCAATGTTAAGTGTGCTTCTTTGTAACTTCAAATGTATCTTTGTTCAATAACCTAAATACTCTGTCTTAGAGGTCTTGACTACTACGGCCACAACTATGAAGTCCTAGGGCTTCCTGCACTCTCAGAGTGGTGGGAGTTTTTATTGTAGAGTGGGAATCACTCCTTCATGGGCCAGTTTGTATAAGTAAAATGAGATTCTCCTGGTTCTCATGTAGCTTTATGGAGATTTGGGGTTGCACAGTTCACTAGTCCTACATCTACCTTTCTTTTTGCAGATCTGTCATAGTGGTTCATCAGAACCTCAAATTATGCAGCTTCCTGAAAGGAGGAGGAAGATGATCATTTCCCCACCTGACCCAGTGAAGAGTAATTATCAAGCTGCATGCTGGCCTCACATTGGAGGAATCCCTATTGTTCACTAATGCTAGTAGCATCATGAGGAAGTAACTGGAGAACCTACAACAGCCTCTCCCAACCTGGTTCTTTCCAGAGGATTTGGACTACAACCCCCATCAGCCTGAGCTGTCATGGCCAATGGTCAGGAATTATGGGAATTGTAGTTGAAAACCTTTGGAGGGCATAAGGCTGTGGAAGGCTGCCTTGCAACATGTGGGAATATGTGCTACCAATGGTGCAGTTTGATCAGCAGAACGGGGAATGGAAAAAAATGCAGAACAAGCATGTATTCCACATGCCAAAAATATGTAAAGTTGTTTGAGTTTCCAAAAAAAAAGAAGACTAATTATTAGACACTGCCTGGGAAGAAGAAATCTAAGGCAAATGTATAAATCTGATTCTCAGCTCTGCAATATTTCACCAGGCACTTGAGAAGAGAGTTCAATATTTTCAGAAAATGCCTTCTAATTATGACCGCCACTATTCCAACCATATAAAAATCAATCTCAAGTTACACTTTGTTTCTAAACAATCAGTACTTTCGGCATTTTATACAATGGGAATTTGTCATTTTATACAATGGCAATGCTACCTATGATGTAAGCGAGCTTTGTACTGTACAGACTGAGAGCCAGTTCTGATATAACGCTTAGTACATTTTATCTGTGGGAGATGTTAGCAATACAATTTCATCCTTTCTGGATTCCAGTGCCCATTTTGAACTCCAACCACATACACCAAGTGTGGGGAAGCTTTAGCCCTCCAGATTTTGCTGAACTACAACTCCCATCACCCCTGGCCATTGGTCATGTTTACTGGACCTGGACCTGTAGCTGACCTCTACACCTGGTTCCCAAGTATCCTCCTTAGCCTCAAAAGCATATTCAGATGGGTACCCTTGATTCACTTGATATACTCAGCCCAACCAGAAGCACTCCTGTCTGTGCTCTAGAGGAGTTCTGAAACAGGCCTAGTCAGCATAATTAGTTGTTGCAGCAGCAGCAGCTGCTGCTGTGCTATGGAGCTGTCCTCCTGGCACTGGCTTTGCTTGCTTGGACATAACTGGGACAGAGAGCAAGGGGTTGGTTAGGTAAGGACTGTGCACACACATCAGCAGAGCCAACTCAGTCCTCCCAACAGTGTGTCTAGCTGTCCTCCCCACTCCATCTCCATCTCCATCATCTCCATCTCGGTAAGTGGTAGCTATGTTGGGGCTGGGAAAGCTCTGGCCCACTATACAATCCACTAACTATTTGTCTCCCAACTTAACTCCCCTCTTCTTCACATAAACAGAGCAATACTTTTTACTGTGGTTGCATATGCAGGCCAGACTGGGTCAAAATATTGCTAACCTATCCATCCCATCTCCTCTCTTACAGTTTGTGTGAAATTATTTATATATATATATATATATATATATATATATATATATATATGATGGAGTCCTTAACCAGACATCCTAAATAATCAGCTTTTTTCAATCCAAATATACAGCTGTGAACTCAGAACCACACAGTTTGACAGTTGTGTGTTAATGTTTAATTTAACAGTTGTGATAGGTAAGAATCCCTGCCCCCCCCACCCCAAGCCTACAGACAGAACAAAAGCTAATGCCTATGAAGCAGCAGCCTCAAAATTAGATTAAAACATCACACGGTCAGCATCAACAAACCTGCTGGCTCAGAACGAGTATCTCTGACCATTCATAGCCCAAGAACAGGGAAAGGAGGGAGAGGAAAGACCACTTCTTGTGACAAAGGTCAAACATTTGCGGGCAAAGAACCTGTCTATATGAGTGGTTCATGGGACAGCTTTGTCTGGTATGGTCCCAGGAGGATGTCGTAGGCTCCAGAATGTCCCTTTTGCCTAAGGGATGGCCCCATAGCCGTCCTGATCAGTTTAGGGTCATTTCACTCGTGTCATCCTGGTTCCTGTTGCTTTTTCCTCTAAAACTGTTAGGCAATCATTGGGAGCTTTGTGAATATGTAGCTGAGGGCAGAAATTAGGACCACTTCAATTAGGGGCCCCGCGTTGCTTACTTAAACAGGATACATGCAATACACGGACCAATTCTTAAGAGATGCAGTAAAACAAAATGGGAATTTTCCTAACACATAGCTCACTGTACTGATGTTCTGCCTATGCTTTCTTTTTTTAGTTTGAAAACCTGTCACATAAACAGAAGAACAGAAGTGACCAAAAATGAGATCAGCTCATTATTCATCTGTGTATGTCATATGTTGTGTTTCAAAAAGAGCCTCGTAGTTGTGCATTTTCTCTGTAGCTGACGTATGGCGTGCCCAAATATTTGGAATAATGTATAGAAAACATCTGGCTTTAATTATATTGTAGCCCTCTTATGCAGACAATGAGAATTGAATTAAGGAATGTTTATAAACCCCCACAGAGATGTAAAAGTATTAACAGCTGCACCAGAACAATACTGTTAAAATGTTTGAAAATGTTTGGCCTTACCAATCAACAATTTTACACCTCATAAATATCAATAATGCTTTTTTAAAAAGAGAAATACATTTTTTAAAAAAGGGTGGAGGGGGCAATTTAAATGTTCAAACTGTAGTATAATCCAGGCAGGAATAATATGTTTATATATTATATTGGGACTGGAGAAAATATAATTGAAATAGCATTCTTTGGGCTGAACCCCTTCATTTTATATATGTAATCAGCATTTTAGTGTCAATTTCTCCTAATAAACACATTCTTTTATGTATATTGAATAATAAACACATTTTACAAACAATATTCTCAAATAAAATGCATTTTTTGTATGTTTTCCCCAATATTGTTGTTAGCCGCCCTGAGCCCGGCTTCGGCTGGGGAGGGCGGGATATAAATAAAATTTATTATTATTATTATTATTATATACGTGTTTTGTGCACCTCTCCCCTCCCCACAAATATGCATTTTTGCATAAATTGTTTGTTTGAAGAACTGCGTTGCAAAATTCATAGAAGTGTGAATTTTGAAATATATCTGCATTTGGGGCAGGGTAGTGACAAAATCAGGGCTGCACAGGCACACCAGTGGAATTGGCTCTGCCCTTGTGTATACACAACCCCGACCCCCTTGCTCCACCCCAACCATATCCAGAAAGCTGCAGCAACACCAGTGTCAGGACAGTGGTTCTACTCCACCACACCAGCTACCAAAATACTGGATTTATAGGCTACGTCCAGTGCAGAACTGCTACTTTTGCCCCATTTTTCTTCATTGCCAGACCAAAAAGAAAAAGAAAAAGAAAAAAGATGACAGATCAGAAAGTCTTGCTCAGGGGTAGGCAACCTAAGGCCCGGGGGCAGGATGCGGCCTAATCGCCTTCTCAATCCGGCCCACGGATGGTCTGGGAATCAGCGTGTTTTTACATGAGTAGAATGTGTCCTTTTATTTAAAATGCGTCTGGGTTATTTGTGGGGCATAGGAATTCGTTCATTTTTTTTCTTCAAAATATATTCCGGCCTACCACATGGTCTTAGGGACAGTGGACCGGCCCACGGCTGAAAAAGGTTGCTGACCCCTGGTCTTGCTAATCTCCTCTATGCATTTGAAACACAAGCAACAACTGCCTTTGAGCATTTAGTGTGAGTAATTCATACCATGCACGCACAATATTGAAGCACATGGTTGCAATACTTAAATTTATGAACAGAAGAACATTTATGGGGCAATGGAGCTCACCTTGGGTTGCACCTGGACATTACAAGCTTTTTTGAGCTACTCATTCAAAGTTTATCAGCCCTCCTAATGCAAATATGCAACAGAATACAAACATGAAATTAGTGGTATGCAATATTCTCATTAGAAGGTGGTTTAAATTTTAGCTTTGTCAGTGAATATATCCCAGATTCCTTTGATATTGGATGTTCCTTTATGTTCACATTGTATCCGAAGGTCAAATTAAGCTTCATATTGGTTAAAAAATGTTTGAGGCAGAACAGAACTGGAATTTAAGGTAAGTTTATTATACTCACCGGTTTTCCGAAGCGGGAAATCATCCTTGGCCTCTTGTGCTCCTGGTAACGTGTATTTGTAGGAAGGGGACGTTCCACTAAGGGGAGGAGAACTTTGATCCAAAGAGGTATGGTGGGCAGCCCTACAGAAGACACAGATGGTCAATGCAATGTCTGATGTTTTGTGAATTAACAATTTATACATGCAAGTTACAGAAAATGTTAAAGCTATAGATGCAGCTTGATTCTTCCAAGTGTGCAAAAGCCTATGGGGCACACATAGTTATGGGGCACACGTAGCTAAGGGGCACACACAGTAAGTTATGGACTGCTCAGACTTCACAATCATTTTTCTCTGGGTAATTCATAAAATGCACGCAAGAGAAGTGTCATGGCAGTGCAGATAAAATTTGCCATTGGACTAGTCATTTCAGTATCATTAATAGAGACTGACTCGTTTATGCTGCATGTATATATCAAGATTTTCACCTGGCACCTTAATTACATATCTTAAGGCACCGGGCAAAAACATCTCTCTCTCAAAAACATCAGCAAAAACAAGACCTTTGGCTGATTAACATTAAATGTGTTTGTTGGAGTGGGCTTAGTGGTTTGTTTTGTTCTTCTTGTTGTTCTTATTATATATTTCATGTTGTGAACTGCCCTGTGATCTTCAAATGAAGGGTGGTATACAATTTAAAAATAAATAAAAATAAATAAAGTATTGTTTTCCTTTAGTCTAGGGACAAAACAAATTCTTACGAAGAAAAAGAAAGTCCGGGTCCCCTATTTGGTGTGAAATATCTGCTTATGAGAAACCTCTTTTTGACAACTGAGCATCAAAAAAATAATAATACTTCTGACATTCTCTATGTACCAAACCTGATGCCCTCCTTAGTAAAAATGTCGGTTCCCTCAGCCTGAAGTGAGAAGAGTTGCCTTTGCCTAGACTTAACCATCCAGGGTTTTTACCTTTACCCACTTAGTATTTCACCAATCTAACTCAAACTTTTCTTTAAGTGAAAAAGGCAGTGAAGACATTTTAGAGTCAAGGAGCAGCCTAATTTATTCTGGTCTTCAGTCAAAGATTAATCAAGAAACTCATTTATAGTTGAAATGAGAACCATTTCCCCCCCAAATTCTATTCCATTTATCCTATTAAGGTGTAGAATAAAACACCCGTTTTCATTTTTCTCAAGAATCTGCACAAGAATATCAATCTGAATGCCTTGCTTGGCATTTTGAACAACAACAAAAAATCATCTGACTATTGTAATGAACTATTCAGAAAAAATGGCATAAGCTAAAAGCAAATTCAAAGCCTCAAGATTGCTCAAGGATATCTGAGCAAAAATAGTGAATCTCAGTCCTGTTGATGGGAACAAGTGGTAGATTGTGTAATTTGATCCTGAATGTGGTCATTTTGGTTAAACACAGCTGTTTACATTGGTTACAAAACTAAAGAGTGTTGGCATATGCGAAATTCAATAGGGAAATATGTCTCCCTATTGCTTTTATCAAGCCCTATTCGATACTAAGGATACTTTCACAAATTAAATACTTCTAATAAGCTAAAAGGGGAGGGGGCCCTTTAGGCTGTCACTATTTTGTGGGAAGTACAGTATTCAATCGCAAACCAGAAATTCAGTTTTGTGCAGTCCAAGTGGACTAGAGCACTCTGTTGCCCTAGTGCAACAAATCCACTTAAACAGACTTTTGTGGTTGGGAATGTGATGGGAATATACTCTGAAAAGTGTAGGAAGAATGAACAATTGATGGGGAAGAGAGGTAACACCTTGCAAGCAAATCAGGATGAATGCCAAGTAAACAAGGCATCTGGTGGATCTACCTGTTAGGTTTTTATAAGTAAAGTCAATATCCAGCAGAGGCACATTAGCCCTTAGGAGGCAAAGGTGATGATATGCAGCATCTTTCTCAGTTTGCTATCATTTTGGAATCTGGAACTTTTAAAACTTGCTTTTCCACTTTATCGGATGGGGAGGGTTTAAGATAGCAGAAGGCTAAACATACGTGTACCAGAGCTTGGGGTGCCGGCTAACGGAATGGTTCTTCCCATTGGCTGGAGAGTCTTTCGTTGCAGATTTGCTCAATAGAAACTCTTGAAGTTTCTGCTTCACTTCTGTACTGGCCACTGCTCCTAAAAGAAATAGGTTTGTTTCCCATGTTTCTAATTGTATAGAGTGTCCAGAATTCATTAAAAACAAAACAAAACAGATGCACATACAAAAGCAACAGTTTTGCTAGAAAAAAATGTAAATATGAGTGTCAGACAATAGTTGTATCAAATAATGCCTTTCCCCTGATTTCCTTTCTTTAGAGAAGATGTCAAATGCTGCAGTCATTAGAGAAAAATGAGAGTCTGGGTACTTAAATAAATATTATGGATAGTTTTTGAAAGCACAGTATAAACTAGGGGGGCACACTCTGAAATGTGTGTCATTGTGCTCATTGAAGTAATACAGGTCTCTGAGAACCTTGTTTCAAAACTTTAAACATGGCATTATGCTACTGCTAAATTTATATAATTTCCCTTATAAGCTAAAAGCATATTTAAAGGATGTCACAACATTCTCTATTTTGCTAAATATTGGTACACACTTTATTATCAATGAGAAATTCCAGGGGGGATAATGAATACATTTGGTGTTTATAAATTGTTACCCCATGTAAATAATATTTTTGAAGCACTGAAACAGCTTAGTTTTCACTCCCATTCCATTTGCGAGAGGAATTATATGTATCTGCCTCCCCCTAGTGAGTATCACATTCCAGTAATGCCGTTTCTTTCTTTTTTTGAATTTATTTTCCTAGAAGCCACAGTAATAGAAGACTGTCAATTAAAATCATCGTGCCCTATCTATCTATCTACATTTCCATACAAATATTAGCAATGCAATTAATAGGGATGTTTTTGGATTTTAATGGAACACACAATGCAGGCAGTTCCAAACTGTTGCTATTTTTGGGTGGCATTCAATCAAATTGTGGCAAATTTAGGTTGCACATTTATAATTGTTTGAGAGGTCCTGCACAGCAAACCCACGAGAGATTAGACTTTTAGAATTAAGAAACACGATGGAAAAATGCACTGGGAAGTATGGAATAACACTTGCTTTGGCGTAACATCCTCTAGCCTCCCCACAAATTGGAACGAATGCTCATTAAATAGCCTGCATTGTCTAATCTCCCTGCAAACAAATCAGGATAAACGCTCAATAAACAAATCACTTGGAAGTGCCCTGGACCTGAATGAATTATATTGCCAGACCATATTTTTATATATGTAGTCATTTACTGGAGGGGCAGTGGTGGTGGAGGAGGCAGTAGTGAGCAAGCCAATAGAAGTTAGATAGCGTTTTTCAACCGGACCTTGGCTGAACAGATCTTACTTTCGCGGCTTCTTTCTTTGCTTCTGATTGGAGGAAGCTGCTCCCTGTGGTGCCTTTCCAGTTCCTGTTCTTGCCTTTGTTGCTCCAGTTTCTGCTCTTTCTCAATGAGTTCTTGCTGTTGCTTGATGGCTAAGAGTTCCTGTTGTAACTTGCAAAGAAGACATAGTCATAAGAAAGTATAGTCTTAAGGCTGGAGGTGGTCATGCCCAGCCTCCACCCCGCTTGCCGTCCGTGGTCCTACAGCAAACAAAATCATCTGTGCATTAGTCCCTTTGAAAGCTACAGGAATTACTTTCTCCAGGACTAACTTGTCCCACTGATTTCAAGTGAATTCATAGTTGGATTGTATCTGTGCTGACTCAGAAGCACTCAGCCAATTTCACCAGGACTTACTCCCAAGTAAATCAAGAATATACTTGATGGCAGTATATATCATTGTTAAGCGAGCACTCATAAATGTTGTGGTGGTTCCTGATGGCCAGGGTGGAAGGTGTGTGGTGAACAGATTATTTATTCTTGCTGTACCAACTCTCAGGCTGGTGCAGTAGAGGGTCTTCACTGGGCCCCTTGCTAGGAAATGGTCTGATGTTGGATCCTGTGCATCTGCCATCAGTCCTGCTCTGCAGCACACCCACCATATCCCATTTCAGGGCCATATGACAGCTACCATTAATGGGAGATACTGCCAGCAGTAGTGGTGCCCCACCATGCCTTCGGTGGGCTCAGCAGGAGCTTCCACAGCTGCAGAACCCACCAAACTGCAGTGGAGGCATCTCTGCTGAATCTTAACATCTGCCAGCAGCACAGGTTATGGGACAGGATTGCTGCACCCCTTTAGCTGGATCAGGGCCAAAAGAAAAGTAATTTCCTTCTTTGCCTTCAGATTTCTTTTGCTCTTCCAGTCCAGTGTTCTGATTTTTCTCTTTTCAAGAAAAGTGCCATAACATGTGACACAGCTCTATAATTATTGTTATCTTAGTGTTTTAATTTCCATATAACCAGATTTTTTTCTTTTGTAAGCACATTTTTTGGTGCTATTTTTGCACATTTGCCATTGTGACCAAAGGCTCTGGTTGCTCTTCTCACACACCAAGGAAAGAGCAATTATTTCATGCCCAACTAATCACAGCTCTGAAGCACCGTGAGCTACAGATGGAGGCTATAAGCATGAGAGGCAAAAGCCCATCTTGGACTTTCTTGCATTGCTTAAGCAAAAGCCCTTATTTAATTTTTCATTCTCTTCAGCAGAGCTAACTTACAAAGGTCACATTAACCGTTTCCATTTTAACAGGCACAGAGTCAGTCCAAAGCTAACAAGCATTTTACAAAGAGACTCGCCAAAGCTAACACAATTAGGGGCTAAACACAACTGGATGCCTTTGGTGACTCTTCTGAAGATCTCACCTTTATTTTTGGAGTTGTACCTTTTACAAATCTGGCTGAATTTCTGGATGCAGATAGCACAGTGCAAAATACGGCCATGTGGCTTAAAGAAGGTCTTCTGTGCATACCTGTCTGAATCAATCTGTGACCCCATACATAAGCAAAGAGAAGGAAACAACACAGATTGATACAGCTCTCAATGTGTTCACTAACTGGCTGGAAAGTTTTCAGAACGTTCCAATTTGGAATACTATGCCTTTCTGCAAAATACATGAATTTCAGGTGGCTCCCTCTGTTGTGCACCCCTGCAAACATTTTTATAAACACATTTGGAGGAATATCCACATGCTAACAAATGTGTGCGTTCACCGCATGCGCCGCTCATATAGCTGAAGCTTCATTCTGCTGTATGGCATCCCAAGAGACAGTGCCCTGAAGTCTTTGAACACTTAGCTTGCTATGGTGCAATCTGGGAAGAGAAGAAACATGTTGCTACCTTTATGTGTTCCTGGATCTGAGCTTGGTGCTGTCGCGTCAGGTTCTCGTGCTGCTTCTGAAATTCTGCTATAAGGAGCTGCTTCTGAATTTGCTGCTGCTGCTGGATCAGGAGCAGTTCCTGCTGTAGCTGCTTTTCACGTATCATTGGGTCCACCATGGGAACCATCATCCTGAGATCTGTCTGCAGGTCTAATGGCGTGATAGGTTCTAATCCCACAGGAACTTCTGACTTCACATCCACTGGTATACAAGGGGGGTGGGGAACAGAAAGGGTAAGGGGGAGGGAGGGGAAAAATCAGATAGGAGTTTTATAAAATCATGATATTTGCCATTCACCAGCTATTGTCAGTCATACAGCCTGTTGAATGTCACCTTTTGGCAGCAACAGAAAGAGGACGTCAGCATTTATTTCCATGGCCAGTTTGGAGAGGGCAAGGAATGACTCACTGAGGATTTGTGAGCATCCTTTGTGAGCACTAACAAGGCATGCTTGCAAATCACCAATGGTTTTCAGAAGAATATAGGTTGCTATTTAACATAGGAAGCTACTTATAGTAAATTGACCTTTAGTCCATCTAGCTCAATATTGTCCATTCTGACAGTGATTCTGCAGTTTCAAGCAGGGGTCTTTCTCTGCCATGCCTGGTGATGAGAAGGATAGCATGAACCTTCTGCATGCACTGGACTACTGAGCCACAGATCCTTCCTGTGATGGTTGCTGCCAGGCGAACAGACAAGTGCTCAGCCACCCCAAGCGGTGACACATGCAGAGATGCAACAGGAATGATCTCCTACTCCATTTCTGAACGTGGAATGATTGAATGATTAATGATAACAATTGCAGAGATAGGGAAGAATTACCAGTGCCAGCCAGAGACTGACTGAAAGAAGGTAAGGCCAGAAAAGTAAATCATACAGAATAAATTGATAATAATAATAATTTTATTATTTGTCCCAGCCCATCTGATTGGGTTGCCCCAGCCACCCTGGGTGGCTACAGGGGACATCCTTCTCGGTGGGTGGAGACCTCTGTGGGCTCCTGGGTGCCTTGCATTACTTTGCAGCTCAGTGCTTTGCTCATGCTTTACACACAAAACATCCCAGCTTCAAGCCCTGGGAGGGCTGAAACTGCTCCTATCAGTGTTGACAAGACTCATCAATGGCCTGAGTCTAGATAAGGCAGCTTGCTATGTTGATATGAGGTGTTCTCTCTGTTTGGGATTGCTGCTGTAATACTCCTTGGCACCTCTGGAGGCAATAATGAGAAGAGAAATGAGGAAACATTTACAAGGCATAAACCCATGCTTGTCAAGATTCATTCATTTCTGGATTTCAGAATTTGGTGCTGTATTTCCTGTGGCAGAGAAGGGATTTCTTGTCAGAATGAGAATTTCAGCATGGCTTCCAAGACTAAATGAAGTTGAAATATTCGCCTTTCATTTCCTCCCACCCAACTTTTGGCATTCCTGCCGAACTTCTTCCTGCAGGTTTTCCTACAGTCCAGAGTATGCCCACAAAATTGAAAGAAGAAGGAAACAGGAAATTTAAGACTCTGTCAGTATCACCTTTTGTTTCTAGAAGGCAATGGGAACCATGGCTTTGGGAAGCGGGGTATTTGGTGATGGGGTATGTGTGGATGCTCCCATCTTTAGGTGTGGTTGACAGCAGGGTCCTCTCATAGGGTTATGGTGTGGGAACTGGAAGCTCTGACAACCATTATAAAACCAGTGAGAAAGTCACTATATGGGGTATTTTGAGGTAGCCCTTAAGAGTCCCCTAAAATGCCATTTAATCTAACAGCACCAAAGTCACAGAACATAACAAATGTTCATTGTTTTACAGACTGCAGTTCTGGAATCCCCCAAAGTTTTTGACACTTTCTCGTGGCAGCTGGAAAACATATGAATTCATATCACATATCCACTCTTTAGAATTTTATGCATTGTTTTCACAGAGATGAACTCTTCTCTTGTGAACAGAATAAGGCCCATGGTGCACAACAGATCCAGTAGAGGGCAGGAGCAGCCAACTATACCAGACAGTGTTTTAAAAAACAAAACTATGAGTTAGTCTCTTTGCCCAGATACGTATATCAGAAGTATGCGCATGTGGGCACTGGAAGAATATCCTATCCCTTAAAATCAACATCCCCTTTCTTTGTTTCACTCACTTTTCTTTCACTGCCACAGTTCAACACAAGGAAAACGGAGCACTATATAAACATAATATTAGTGCTCTGGCTCTTTCAAAAAGAAACGTGCAGCATAAATGCAAGGCTCTTTTTTAAAATAAAAATGCTTGCATACATATTTTTAGCCCCTTAAACCACTTGGGAATGTTCTAGCCTAAGGGAAGAACATATGGATGATAGAAGATGCTGAGTCTCTCTTACATTTTTCTATCAACAAACAATTATCAAACATAGTTATCAGTTTTCTCTCTTTTTCAACTTTCAGAAACAGCTATCATGAAGCTCAAGGCATAGCTTATGTACCAAGCATTTTTAAACCTGCCAGAAGGATATTGCCCAACTCCTGGCTTTTGTTCTGAGGCAAAATTGCAAAGAAGGAGAAAAGAAATCACCCTTAAGTTACAAAAACTACCCTTGATTATAAATAATTGTCCCAGACCAAGAGAAAAGCGGACAGCGAGATCCCAGCCCTTTCATCCAATTTATTCTGCAGCAACCCACATTCCATTTGTCTAGACTAAATATAGCAGCGTTTATACAAGAAATCAATAGTGCTTGGAGAGCGAGCGGAGCAAAGGCATGAATATTTCATCAAACTCACAGAGAAATGGCAATCAACAAACTGACAGCTCAGTGGAGGCTGACTCCTCAGGCCCTCCAGATAAGTCTTTGTTATTTGGCAGTGGCTCATCCCCTTCAAGCCACTGCCTTATCACAGGCGCTTGTCTATTTTTAGCATTAATTGCATTGTAGGTGACAAAGGCTTATCATGTTTAAAGTGGAGAGATGGATTTTCTTCTATCCATTGTGCCACATAATAAGCCTCACTGGGGACAATAAAAGATGCCAGAGCCGAGCAAAAAGCCCGCTCCACGGGACTGCCTGCAGTCTGCGCAGGTTGAAACGTTCCCAATATTGACAACAGGAAAAAAAATATTCAAGCCCAAAATAGAACACAGACAAACACCTGTGAGCATGGGGAACAAATCCTGCCACAAAGGCAGGCCACATATTTTCATGGAGCTACAATGGATCTTCTTAAAAACAAAACAAAATTGTCACATGACGACTGCAAAGTGTAGTACATTTATTTGGCATTGTTCCTTCTTTTTCTATGTTTTATAGGCTTGTTTCTAACACCACAAGTCCCAAACAGCCAACCCCCTTGGTGTCTACGTACTTAGGAACATAGGAAACTGCCTTATACGGAGTCAGATGATTGGTCCATCTAGCTCAGTATTGTTTCCAGTGATTGGCAGCTGCTCTCCAGGGTTTCGGACAGGGATCTCTCCCGGCTCTACTTGGTGGGAATTGAACATGCAAGGAAGATGCTCTACCACTGACCTATGGTGATAAGCAAGTGCCCATATTTTGGGTAGAAAATCAATTACAGGATGGATAAAGAAAACACCAGAAAGGTGAGCTGGCTATACACAGAAATATAATACAGGGCAGCTTTGTGTCTGGAGAGGTCAGGAATGAGATCCTCACTTTTACAACCATCTCTGGGACACATTAAGTCAAGAGGTGCCTGCAGAATGTTAGAAAGGATTGACTTCAATTGCCCTCTGCTGCTTCAGAGGTCTACGGATGTATCCTTCTGTGCAGATTTGTCAGTGTAGGACACAAACATATGGTTCCCCTTTACTATATGCTGTGAAAAGAAATACAGTGGTGCCTCAGGTTAAGAACTTAATTCGTTCTGGAGATCTGTTCTTAACCTGAAACTGTTCTTAACCTGAAGCACCACTTTAGCTAATTCTCCTCCTGATAATTTTTACTGTCCCTTACTTGTCTACCTCTGCCATACCCTGTCTACCATACCTCTACCTTGTCCACCTCTACCATATTCTTTTTGAGGGGTGGCAACCAGAACTGGACATAATGTTCCAAGCGCAGTCACACCATAGATTTGCATAGCAGTTTCATTTCTAGTACTTTTCCTAACAATCCCAGATGTGGAATGTTTGGCTTAATAAATAAGGGAACAATACTGGGTGTTTGCCAGGGGTGCTAACTTGCATAAAATATTGGGTGTGTGTGTGTGAAGATAAGCCCTGCCTCGCACAATCAAACACATGATACAGTGCACACACACCATTTGAATGGCAATGCCCATCAACTTTAGGGGGGCCCATAGGAGTTGGCTCCTATGCTGTTTCCACAGGAGTGTTGGCTGATTCTTCACTTTTTTCTGTAGCCCCTTGTTGCTCTAGAAAAGGGCCACTGAACCTTGTGGAGGGGGCTTTGAGGGAGCTGTGAGGCGATGCTACCAGGTGGAGGGCAGGACTAAAAGCACATCTCCATGGACACCACATTGGTCCCTGTCCACTATTATTATTACTATTATGATTTCTTTCAAATGCATGCATGCCAACAAATGAGAATTAAAACAACTGTAAACAGTTATCAGAGTTTTGATATGCAAAGCTCTCCCCCTCCTCCTTCCAATAGCCTGAAAGGGAAGCACAGATAACCCAACACTAATAAACCATCGCTGAGACACATTGAAACTGTAGCTGTTGAAGTTAAAGGGAGCTAGCGGGCAAGCTGCTTGAAAACTAATGGCTTTATTTCACTGATTCTCTAAAATCCGTCTTGCTCTTTGGAAATATGCAAACAAACCCAAGCATAACCATGAATGGCCCCCTAATTCCAAACATGTGACAAGTTCCTAATTGTTGCATTACGGAGTTCCATCGCTTAGCGAGCACTTAGGAAGGGAGGCTGTATCTGCCTGCTGTCTTAGAGGTTCAAGCCAGCCTCTTGCTATTTGCCAGCAGGGGACCTGGGGGGGCCTGATGAAACAAATAAAGGAACTCATGACAAACCGCAAAAATATGTCAACAGGAGAATACCTGAAATATATCTCAGCTTCTCAGTTTTATATATATATGTTCCGCTCTGTTCCAGTAACAAGAAGCCGAAAGCACCAGCCTGAAGATGACGAGTGAGACCTCGTCGAAACGTCGCCTAGACACCCCAACTTTTACACGGGAAGACACCCGAGGACACCAAAACCTGCATTCCTGTACCCGTGAAAATCTAC